AAGCATCTCATAACATGGATGAAACTGGAGGACATTATGCTGAGTGAAATAAGTCAATCACAAAAGGACAAATATTGTATGAGACCTCTACTGTAAAAACTCATTAAAAAGTTCACACACAAAAAGAAACAATCTTTGTTGGTTACAAGGGATGGGAGGGGTAGGGGGAAATACTAAATAGACAATAGATAAGTGGTAACTCTGGTGAAGGGTAAGACAGTACACAATACTGGGGAAGCCAGGACAACTTGTACAACAAAACGTCATGGAAGCTCCACAGATACATCCAAACTCCCTGAGGGACTGAATTGCTGGGTGGAGGGCTGTGGGTACCATGGTCTCGGGAAACATCTAGCTCAACTGGCATAACACAGTTTATAAAGAAAATGTTCTACATTCTACCTTGGCAAGTAGCATCTGGGGTCTTAAAAGCCTGTGAGAAGCCATCTAAGACTCCACCGGTCTCACCCCATCTGGAGCAAGGGAGAATGAAGAAAACAACATACAACAGAAAGATTAGTCCAAAGGACTAATGGACCACAACTACCACAGCCTCCACCAGACTGAGACCAGTACAACTAGATGGTGCCTGGCTACCACCACTGACTGCTCTGACCAAGATCACAACAGAGGGTCCTGGACAGAGATGGAGAAAAATGTAGAACAAAATTCGTACTTACAAAAAAAAAGACCAGGCTTACTGGCCTGACAGAGACTGGAGAAACCCCAAGAGTATGACCCCTCCGACACCTTTTTAGCTCAGTAATGAAGTCACTCCTGAGGTTCACCATTCAGCCAAAGATGAGACAGCCCCATACAACAAAACGAGACTAACGGGGCAAAACAGTCCAGGGACAAGGACTAGAAGGCAGGAGGGGACAGGAAAGCTGGTAATAGGGAACCCAGGGTTGAGAAGGGACAGTGTTGACATGATGTGGGTTGCTAACCATTGTCATAAAATAATATGTGTACTAACTGTTTAATGAGCAACTATTTGTTCTGTAAACCTTCATCTAAAGTACAATAAAAAAATGTGTGTAGTTTTAAGCTGCTGAGGTCATGTAATTTGTTATGCAGCAATAGAAAACCAATACACCACATCTGGTACTTTAATCAATTTGTCGGTATCTTGGTTCTGGATCTTGGAATATACTCGCTAGGATGAGGTTTAGGATAAGGACATACTTCTTCACACCAACAGCTATCTAACTAAAGCCCAAGAATCTGACCAATAACTAGATAACCTATTACAGTGTCAACAATTTCCAGGATTAGGGAAGTGACTCTTACCCTAATATCGTGAACCTGGGCCATTCAGTTTGCCTTCCATAATTAGTCTTTATAGCTTGGTCAATTGGTCCAGGGTCCTTCTCTCAACCTAATGTGTGATTCACTACTTTATCCATTCTTTTTCCCTTCCTGCCAGGATGCACAGCCTTCCAACACTAGATACATTCACTAAGGCATATTATTCATAATCTAACACCAATAATACAGCGAAACCTGGGAGAGCTGGAACTTGCTGGGTCTCACAAGTTGTATGCCTTTGACAGGATGCAGTCTACCACTTTTCTATCACTCTTTATTAGTGGAAAATATCTGAATTTTCCTTCTCTGACAGGGTTCTGCCTTACAAAGTTTCCAGCTTTCGCAAGTTTTACTGTATATACAGCAAAGGCTTTAAACTGAAAATTAGCCAGAAAACTTTGATCAGTATATGGTTTAGGATACGTAACATATAAAAAGAATGTGGAAGTAGCTCAAAAGATATTACTCTTCAAATAATTAAATCTATCACATTACGTTTATTATCACTCTAAAAATGGAAATCAAGTTATAGATTTAAAACCAAAACAGACCTTCAGATTATGCTAAACAAATGGATTTGACATAAGGCAACCAAGTTGAAAAAAACAAAAACCATCAACCAGAAACTGCATTTCCTTAGTAGCTCTGCGAAAATAAAAAGAATTGGGCTTTTATAATCTAGGAATTACATTTAGTTTACATAAATGGGTCAGAAAATTTCTTTCTGAAAAACACCAGATAGTAGATATTTTAGGTTTTGTTGGCCTTGAAGACTCTGCCACAACTACTCAGCTCTGCCACTGTAGCTCAAAAGCAACCACAGATAATATGTAAATAAATGGGTGTGCCTGTGTTTCAATAAAACTTTATTTACAAAAACAGGTGGCAGGCAGATTTGGCTCATGGGCTACAGTTTGCCAACACCTGGTTACAAAGGAATATGATAATCATTTAAACAAATGAATGTCTCAGGAACTTACTGCTTAATTTTATCATTTCTTGGTCCAAATCTTGGTCCAGATGGTCCCCTTCTAAAACAAAATACCAAGTAAATATTAGTAGCGATAGTATTAAAAAATAAAATAAAATAAAACACACACACACACACACACAATTGAGCTGAATTCTAAATATGGATCAGTCATTTCTTATAAGGAACCACATTTTACTGGTAATGCTGGAATTGAATGATGCAGAACCCTCTCTTGACTTCATTGGCACTTACTGCTAGCCATAATTAACCCAACTCTTCTGACTGTTATAACTTTCAGAGAAATTAGAGTTTATATAATCATTAATTATATATAAGTTGTTCTAATCAATAAATGCTGAAATATAACAACTAAACTGTCAGTGAATATGAATAGCTTCATGATTAACTGTAGAACAACTGAAAGTACAATTCACCTTGATCTTAGGCTATGATACTATGCTGACTGGCAGGTATGTGTGGAGAAAAAACTCACTCAAAACACTAAACATTTTTCAGTATGTTTCTTTGATCAGTCATCTTAAACTTACCAACATAGCCAAAGGGGAAATATAGCAGTGTATGAAAATATCAACATTTCTCAAATTATTATCTCTCTATTATCCATTTTAATATTCTTGACATAAAAACTTTTGGATACTTTAAGTATTTATCATTCCTCTAAAGATACATAATAAAGTATAAACCACAAAGCTAAAAAGAAAATAGGTTCTTAAATTTCCAGGCACATAGCAACGTTTAAAGGAGGCAAAGAAAACAGCTATTGAGGAAGCAAACACATTTTTAGAGGGAAAAAATCAAACTGCCCACAGACAATTTAACATGATTTATATTTATGTTTATAAACATGAATATATTGTCTCTGCCTCGATTACTCTAAATTTATTCCATAAAGTCTTTAAAGCTCTAACTAAGCTCTCACTGGACCAGTATTCTATTCAAAATCAAAGTTAAACATTGAAATTCATAAAATACTAATATTCTGAACCAGAGGCCATCCCTTAAAATAGGCCAGAGTGAGAAAGAACTGGTTAACTGAAAAGCAAGTAAAAGCAACCATTAAATGAGATGATAAAAGTGAAACAGCTAATCTAAAAATTATTAGATTAAAATTAACCCAGGTATAACCTTAAACTCGTTGCCACTGCATCAATTCCAACTCAAAACAACCCTATAGGACAGAGTAGAACTGCCCCATAGGGTTTCCAAGGAACAGCTGATGGATTAGAACTGCCGACCTTTTGGTTAGCAGTCAAGCTCAACCACTGCACCACCAGGGCTCCAACCCAGGTATAGGTTAAAAAAAAAAAAGAAGTAGCTATGTTTGTTTCATCTATTAAGTAATATGAGACTTTAAAAATATTCATGGAAAAAAAAAAACAAAAGCCGATTCTTTCAAAAATGAAAATTGATGAACTTCTAGTCAGACTGATTAGGAGAAAAAAAGAAAAGACCCAAATTACTAATAGGAATGCAAGAAGGGAGATCACTACAGATAAATGTAACACGGTTATGTAAGATTAACGAAGAGAAGCCAGGTGAAGGGCAAATGGGTTCTCTGTATTACCTATGCATCTCTTCCATAAGTCTAAAATTATTTTAAATTAAAATAAAAATATATATAACCTCCCCCCACAAAGAATATTCCAGGACTAGATGGATTCAGTGTTAATTTCTATCAAACATTTAAGGAAGAAAGGATACCAATTCTACACAAACTGTTTAGGAAAACTGAAAAAGAAAGAACATTTCCCAACTCATTCTATGAGGCCAGCAATAACTTAAATACAAATAAACAAAACAGAAAAAGACATAACTATTGTTTTAGTTATCTAGTGCTGCTATAAACAGAACTACCACAAATGGACGGCTTTAACAAACAGAAACTTATTCTCTCACAGTTAGGAGACTAGAAGTTGGAATTCAGGGCACCAGCTCCAGGGGAAGGCTTTCTCTCTCTGTTGGCTCAGGGGGAAAGTCCTTGTCATCAGTCTTCCCCTGGTCTAGCAGCTACTCAGCACAGGGGCTCTAAGTCCAAAAGGCGCACTCTGCTCCTGGCTCTTCTTGCTTGGTAGTAATTAGGTCCCTCTCCTCTCTGCTCACTTTTCTCTTTTATATCTCAAAAGAGACTAACCCAAGATACAACCTAATTCTGTAGATTGTGTCCCATCTCATTAACATAACTCTCTAATCATGCCTCATTAACATCACAGAGGTTAGGATTTACAACACATAGGAAAATTACATCAGATCACAAAATAAAGGACAATCACACAATACTGGGAATTATGGCTTAGCCAAGTTGACAGATATTTTGGGGGGATACAATTCAATCTACCCCATCAATCATCTCAAAAGTCCTAAGTCAACTCCAAGTTCAAATTTCATCCTGAGGCAAAATTCCTCTTCATCTGTGACATCTAGAATACAAGTTACCTGCTTCCAAAGTACAATGGTGGAACAGGCACAGGGTAGACTTTCATTACAAATGGGAGAAACTGGAGGGAAAGAGGGCATAACAGGCAGCAAGCAAGTCAGCAGAACACATTACATTAGCTCTCAAGGCTTGAAAATAATCCTGTGTTCTCTGAGACCATTTAGGCAATGGCCCTGCCCTCCAGACTCTGGGTGTTGGCCACACTCTCTGGATTCTGGGTGGAGGCCCCTTGGCCCTGGACTTCAGCTCCACCTGCCAGGCCCACTGGGATGGCAACTCTGCTCCCTTGGATTTGGGCAGCCCCATTCTCCTAGTCTGAGTGGCAACCCTAACCCCTCAGTCCTGGCAGGCCCTATTCTTCTGCTCCTTGGGCATGGTAACCCCACCCCTATCACCCTGGTACTTGTGAATGGCAGTCCCACAGTCCGGAACCAAGCTGGTAAAGATCTGACTCCTTGAAACCTAGGAGGCCACGGCTCCACTCTTTGAGATCCAACAGGCCATGGTTTCATCCTTTGCGATCCCAAAGGTCACGGCCATACTCTTTGAGACGGAGGCAGCTCTGCTTTCTGTGCTCCTTGTCTCTTCAGCTTCTATTTCCTGGTTCCTTAGCCTCTTGGCCCCTCAGGCCTCTTGGGCCAGCCCAGCCTCTGCTATCCTTCTCAGGCAAGAGTTACAAAGCTCTTTAGCTGTTTTGATAAGTGCGTAGAGGCACTCCACTCTGCCAGTAAACCTTGGCCGGAAGGCACTCAGCTCTCACATTCCACGGGTTGATGAGCCTGGCTCCACCAACAAGTGCCTGGAGGCACCCCACTTCGCCAGGAAGCCTCCTGCCCAAAGGCTCTCAGCTCTCTCGCCATTTCATGCCAGTCCCTGGTTCTGCTGCTACCATTTCTGTTGCTGCTTCTAGCCATTTGTGCTGTCTGTTGTTATAGCTCTCCTCACTTCCTCTGAGCCCTCACCAGAACTGTCTTTGTGTCCATAATTCCACCAACACTCTCTTCAAGACCACCTAGGTTTTTACTATTAGGCACTTTAAAACTCTTCCAGCCTCTACCCATTCACAGTTTCAAAACCACTTCCACATTGTAGGTATCTATCTGTCAGAGCAGCACCTCACTCTTCCGGTACCAAATTCTGTCTTAGCTATCTAGTGATGCTATAACAGAAATACCACAAGTGGGTGGCTTTAACAAACAGAAGTTTATTCTCTCAACAGTCTAGGGGGCTAAAAGTTCGAATTCAGGGCATCAGCTTCAGGGGAAGGTTTTCTCTCTCTGTCGGCTCTCGGGAAGGTCCTTGTGATCAATCTTCCCCTGGTATAAGAGCTTCACAGCGCAGGGACCCTGAGTCCAAAGGACACACTCTGCTCCTGGCTTTTCTTGCTTGGTGGCAAATAGGTCCCTCTCCTCTCTACTTGCTTCTCTCTTTAATATCTCAAAAGGAATTGACTCAAGATACAACCTAATCCTGTAGATTATGTCCCACTTCATTAACATAGCCTGCCTCTAATTCTACGTTATTAATATCATAGAGGTTAGGATTTACAACACATAGGAAAATTACATCCCATCACAAAATGGAGGACAACCACACAATACTGGAAATCATGGCCTAGCCAAGTTGACACACATTTTGGAGGGACACAATTCAATCCATAACAACTATCAACCAACCATTATCTCTCATGAACATAGATGCAAAAAGTCTTGGCAAACTGATTTCAACAATGTTTAAAAGGATACTGCATGATGATCAAGTAGGGTTTATTCCAAGAATGCAAGGTTGGTTTAAAATTCCACAATCAATCAACATAAATCAGCACTTGAACAGACAAAGAAAATCCATATGATCATCTCAACAGATAAAGAAGAAACACCTGACAAAATTCAACATCAATTATGACAAAAACTCTTAGCAAACTAGGTACAAGAGAACTTCCTCAGCCTGATAAAGGGAAACTACAAAAAACCTACAGTTAATATCCAACTTAATGGTGAAAGACTGCATAGTTTCTCCTAAGATCAGGAATAAGGTAAAAACATCCTTCCTCACCATGATTATTCAATATTGTACTGGAGATTCTAGCCAGAGCAACAAGCTAAGAGAAAAAAATAAAAGGCATATACCAAAAAAAAAACCATATTGCTGTCGAGTTGATTCTGACTCATAGTGACCCTACAGGACAAAGCAGAACTGCTCCATAGGGTTTTCAAGGAGTGGCTGGTAGGTTCGAACTGCTGATCTTTTGGTTAGCAGCTGCAGCTTTTAACCACTGCGCCACCAGGGCTCCAAAGACTGGATAGGAGGAAGTAAAAGTGTCTTTATTTGCCAATGACATAATCACCTATGCAGAAATTCTAATGAAAGTTACAAAAAAGCTACTAGAACTAATAAGTGAGTTTAGCAAGATTGCAGAACACAAAGTCAATTTATAAAAATCAATTGTATTTCTATATATCAGCAACGAATACAGTCAGTCCCTGGATTACAAACGAGCTCCATTCCTAAGTGTCTTTAAGTATAATTTGTATGGAAATCAGAACAGTTAGCTACAATTCATATCAAACGTCAGTTAGTCAAATGTTTGTCTTGGTATACAGTATACCTTTCTGTGCATAAAAACAATAAATACTTTTGGATACACTAAAACATCTTAAACATAGTAATACAGTAATAATAATAATATTTTGATGCACATCACAAAGTGTGCCCACTTCTTATTACAAACCATAGTATGTACCTCGAATTTTTAATATAGTAGACTTTTCTGGGGTTGATTTGTAACTACTGGTTGTACATAAGTCAGACGTTCATAATCTGGGGACCACCTGTGACAGGAAATTAAAATTTTTTCAATGCCATTTTTAGTAGCATCAGGAAGTTATAAAATACTTAAGGATAAACTTGACAAAAAATGTACAAAATTTAGACACTGAAAACTATAAATGAGAGAAATTAAAGAGGACCAAAATAAATATATATACCATGTTCATGGGTCAGAAATTTCAGTATCGTTAAGATATTAATTCTCCCCAAATTTATTTATAGATTGAATGCAATCTTAATCAAAATTCTAGCAAGATTTTCTTAAGAAATTACCAAGATGATTCTAAAATTTATATGAAAATGCATAGAATCTCTAATAGCCAAAAGAACTTTGAGAAGTATAAAGTTGAAAGACATACACTACACTACATTGTGAATTATTATAAAGTCATAGTAATAAAAATAGTGTGGTATTGATGTAACATAGACATATAGATCAACAGAAGAAAACAAGAATCTAGAAATAGATCCCCATATATATGTTTAGTTACTTTTTTACAAAGTTTCTGAGACAATGCAACGGCAAAACGATAATCTTTTCATCAAATGGTGATAGAATAATTGGATAGCCACACCCCAGAAAAAATGAACCGTCACCCTTACCTTACACCATAAACAAAAATTAACTTGAAATGGATAATAGACCTAAATGTAAGAGTTAAAAACTATAAAACTCCTGGAAAAAAACACAGAGAATACCTTAGTGCCCTTGAGTTTGGCAAAGATTTCTTAAATATAACACAAAAAAGTAAAAACAATGTAAGAAATTTTTCAATAAATTGATTTCATCAAAACCAAAAACTTTGCTCTGCAAAGGATACTGTTATGAAAATGGAAAGTAAGTTATAGACTGGGAGAAAATATTTGCAAAACATATATCCAACAAAAAATGTGTATCTGGAATATGTAAAGAACTCATGACTTAATAGAATCCTTCAATATTGCAACTCGAGGCTCGAATTTTTTCTTCAGTTCTGTCAGCTTGAGAAATGCGGAGTGTGTTCTTTTCTTTTGGTTTTCTAACTCCAGGTCTTTGCATATTCATTATAATATTTTGTCTTCTCGAGCTGCCCTTTGAAATCTTCTGTTCAGTCATTTTACTCCATCATTTCTTCTCTTTGCTTTAGCTACTCCACATTCAAGGGCAAGTTTCAGAGTCTCTTCTGACATCCATTTTGGTCTTTTTTTTCTTTCCTGTCTTTTTCTCACATGCAAGTTCAAGCTGAAGCTGAAGAAAATTAAAACAAGTCCACAAGAGCCAAAATACAACCTTGAGTATATCCCACCTGAATTTAGACACCATCTCAAGAACAGATTTGACGCACCGAACACTAATGACCAAAGACCCGATGAGCTGTGGAATGACATCAAGGACATCATACATTAAGAAAGCCAAAGGTCATTAAAAAGACAGGAAAGAAAGAGTGCAATACTACTGAACAACAAAAAGAAACAATCTATTGATACAAGCAATAGCATGGCTGAATATCCAAATTATTACGCTAAGTAAATGAAGCCAGTAAAAAAGGGACATACTTAATGATTCCAATCATATAAAATTCTAGAAAATACAAATTAATCCATAGTGACAGAATGCAGACCAGGGATTGCCTGGAGACTGGGAGAGCAATGGATTACCAGGGGTGATGAGGAAAATTTTGGAGTGACAGCTATGTTCATTATCTTGATTTTGGTGATGATTTCAAGAGTGTAAACATATGTCAAAATTCATATTGTACACTTTAAACATATAAATTTTAATGTATGTCAATTACACCTTAATAAAGCTATATATATATTTTTAAAAACTCACAGAAAAAAGTCCTCTTCTTCATCTGAATCATCTTCCAAAAGATTTCTCTGTTAAAAGAAGAAAAAGATGGGTTTTCAGATTTAGAAAGGAGTAATGAAACAAGTCCTATCCTGGTGAAATTTCTTAACTCCAAGCTTCCAGACAGAAGGAAGAGTGATTACTTATATATGCTTCACTGGAAGTTAAAAGATGTGGAACAACCTTTACAGGCTTCCCAAAGAAAAGGTTTATAATTTCAGAATCTTGTAGCTGACTCAGATGTAGAAAGGTCATGAAGCTGGCTGTGGGAGTAAGGAACTGCAGGCAATGAGGAAGAAGCCAGTCCCTTCTCCTTCCTCTTGCCTTCTGGTCTCTCTCTATTAGCAGAAACTAACAGGGTAAAGGAGAAATGTAGTTTGCAGAGTTCAACTTTAACATCAGAGAGAACAGTACAGACGGGTAGGTTGGAACTGACAAACAAGAGCTTCGTACTTGGCAGTTTACCTTTTAGCTTCTCAGTCCACAAATAGCCCTCTACACATCTGAACTTCTAAACAAAAACAACTTTATAATTTTGCCTTATAAAATGCAATTACTCTCTTTAAAATGAAGGTACTCTCACCATCTCCCCAAAAGGGGGACATAAAGTCCAAAAAACAGGCTAAATAAGGGTAAAAAATAGATCTTCTCAGACACACAAGAACTCATATACCACCTGCTGTAGGCAAAAAATGACCCTCCAAAGATGTCTACACCCTAGTCCCTGAAATTTGTGAATATGTTACTTTGCAAGGTAAAAGCGACTTTGCAGATATGATTAAGAATCTTCAGGTGAGAAAATCATTATAGATGATCCAGGTGAGCCCAAGATAATCACAAAGGTCCTTATAAGAGGGAGGCAGAAGATGTTATACTGTTGGCTTTGAAAATGGAGGAAAAAATATGAGCCATGGAATGCAGGTGGCCTCTAGAAGCTATAATAGGCAGAGAAACAGAATGCCCCCTAGAGCCCCAGAAGAAAGATGTCCTAGCACACCAGGACCCATTTTGGACTTCTAACCACCAGAACCATAAGATAATAAATTTCTGTTATTTAAGTCACTAAGTTTGTGGTAATTTATATAGCAGCAATGGGAAATGAATACACCATCCATGTACCTTTTCTGAGGAAAGTACTCAAAGAATTACACCAGCCAGAAAGAAAATTAAACCAGAGCAAAAATCTTAAGACAGAGATTTATCTATCAATGAATCTAACAAAATGTATGGTCAAATCTAACTGGATGATGATAATGTGATTGTGAATTGTAACTTACAGCTACTGAAAAAAAAAAGGCATAATATAAGAAAAAGCCTATAAAAAACCTAAAACTTTTCTAACAAAGTCGAGGAGCTGGGAATGGGAGACTGAAGTGAGGAATTAACAGCATAATAATACACTTATCTTGGTGAGGAGTGGAGTGGAGTGGAGGAAGGAGGAATAGGACTAAAATGGGAAAAAACAATAGAAGGGGCATACTTTTTAGTGTGTTGACACAACACAGATCTAAACATTCTTGTTAAAATATTAAGTTAACCAATAACAAAAGAAACAGTGATGGAGTAATATTTCTAAATTGCCTAGTGATACTGGGAATAGGGAGAGTGTTGAGAAAAAATAATCCAGCAAACAAAGTAAGGGAAAAGAGGAAAAATAAAACAAATATAAAAAATATCATTGTATCTCTGTAAAATAATATATAACATAAAGAGTAAAAAAAAAAAAATTAAAGGATGTACTCAATATTCATTTAAAAAATATTGCTGAGTATCTTTTAGGTACTAGGTACTGTTCTAAGTACCAAGCACACACAGCTTTGAACAAAACAGACAAGGTCCAAGCTCTCACAGAAAAATATTTGACAGGGATAAATGCTATGTAGAAAACTAAAACAGTGATGGGACAGAAAGTGACAATGCCTACATGAGATTAGCTTGTCATGGAAAATCACTCTGAAAAGGTGAAATTTAAGCTGAAATCCAAATAGTAACAAGGAGCCAGCCAAACAAAGATCAGGGTGAAGAGCATTTGTTGCTGGCAGAGGGACCAGCTAGGGCAGAAAAAGCCCAAATATATTAGTTATCATAATAAATGTGCATGTTTGAATGCCCCTATTTAAAACAAAAAGTCTATGATTAGGGTTTTAAAAAATCCAGCCATATCTGTTTATAAGTAGTTCACCTAAAACAAATATCAAATAAAGGATAAAAAAAGGAAAAGATACATTGGCAAATTCTAACAAAAAGTATGTTAGAGTCAGTAATACAGATACAAAGAGGAATCTTAGGGCAAAATCATTACACAATCAAATAAGAAGATTTTCAAAGATAAAATGAACAATCCACCAAGTAGATTTAACAGCAAGAACATTATATACCTAACAACATAGCACAAGATACATAAAGCCAAAGCTGTTCGAATTACAAGGACAAATTACCCATTCAAAATCATAAGGAGGATTTAACATACCCTCCAGAGATGGTCAAACCAAAAAGACAAAGAACAAGTATATAGAATTTTGTACTCAAATAGCAACTTTTTTTTTCAAATATCCAAAAAATGAAAAAGTCACAAAATAATTTCAATAAATTCCAAAAAAGTAGAAATTACACAAGCCACACTTTCTGATCACAATACAGTAGAAATTAAAACAAATAACAAAAAGAAATTTTAAAATTAACTCTTATGCTAAAATGTACATGAAGTTGAACAGACTATTTAGAAATGAATGACACTGGGAATATTACAGTTCAAAATCTGTAGGGCATGGCCACAATAGTACTTAAAAGAAAATGTGACCTAAATGCATTTATTTATGAAACCACAAAGCCTGTAAATGTATGAAATAGTATTTAACTCTTAAGATGGGTAAACTGTTATATTCCTAAGTAACACATCCAAGAAGCTTAAAGAGAAAGATTCAAGAATCTGATTATATAAAAGTTAAAAACTTGAAGAACAGAAGATGTAATAAACAAGGTTAAAACGCAAGCAAGAGACTGGGAAAAAATATCTGCAACATACATTCAGATAAAATAATTGACATCTGTATTACATAAAGAGCTCTGACAAATCAGTCAGAAAAAGAGATATTATAGAAAAATAGTCAAAGGATAGGATTAGACAATTCTCAATAGGAAAAGAAATGGACAATGACCACATGAAAAGATGTTCAACATCAATAATAATCAGGGAAATCAATGCATTAACTCATTCCTTCAACAAATACTTCTTGAATGATATTCTTGCTTATAAGTATTAACAGACAATCATTATATTTATGATGCAGTTTATGTGGCTTAGAGGATGATAATACTAAAGATAAGGTGTGTTTATTTTAGTTGTACACTGAGAAATACACCATGAAAACCAATGACTTTTTACTCATTCATTCAACAAGTTTACGTGCTAGGGATACAATGTCAAAGTATAACAGGACACAATGAAATACCACTTCATACCCCCTAGGATGGCTATCATCAAAAAGTTAATAACAAGTGTCCATAGGATGTGGAAAAAGTGGAACCTTCATACATTGTTGTTGGGAATGTAAAATGGTGCAGTCACTGGAAAACAGTTTGGCAGTTCCTCAAAAGGTTGAACATGGGGTTACTACAAAATTTAGCAAGTCCATTCCTAGGTATATATCCAAGAGAAATGAAAGCATGTGTCCACGCAAAAACTTGTACATGAATGTTCATAGTGGCATTATTTGTAACAGGCAAAAAGTAGAAACAAATCCAAATGTCCATCAACTGATAAATGGATAAACAAAATGTGGCATATCCATAGACTGGAATATTATTTGGCAATAGGAAGGAATGACGTCCTGGTACATGCTACGACATGAATGAACCTTGAAAACATCATGCTAAGTGAAAGATGCCAGCTACAAAAGATCAAATATTGCATGATTCCATTTACATGAAATATCCAGAAGAGACAGATCTATACATTTGTGGTTGCCTAGGGCTGCAGGGATGGGGAGAAAGGGAGATGACTGCTAAAATGTACATAGTTTCTTTTTAGGATGATGAAAATATTCTAAAATTGGGTGTAGTAATGGTTGCACAACTCTGTGCATATACTTAATACCAATGAATTGTACACTTTAAATGGGTGAATTGTATGGTTTGTGAATTATATTTCAATAAAGCTGTTACAAAAGAGGAAATCTTGGTGGCGTAGTGGTTAAGAGTTCGGCTGCTAACCAAAAAGGTCAGCAGTTCGAATCCACCAGGCACTGCTTGGAAACCCTATGGGGCGGTTCTACCCTGTCCTATAGGGTCACTATGAGTTGGAATTGACTCAGTGGCAACGGGTTTGGTGGTTTTGGTTACAAAAGAAAAGTATAATGGGAAAGAGAAGTAGTACTTTTTAAAATTTTAAAGTAATTTACAGATTATTAGAACCAGTTATCAAACTTCATAATCTGATAAATATTCAAAAAGGAGGTCTCTGTTTAAATAAACAGCCAACATCCTATTTTTACAATAAATTCTACAAGTAATCAACCCATAATGTAAATACAAAGTGTATGGTTACAGTCTCAATAGTGGAACTCATTTAGGACTGTACATGTTATGTTTTTAAGTATATACACAAAGCTTATTTTAAAACCCTTACAGGATTTAATCTACTGGTAGATTCTAACCATCTTAAAAAAAAAAAAAAAAAACTGTTGAAAGAGTCAGAACAAGACAAATGTTTACTATATTGTACTCATTAGATGTTGGATAGAGTGGATAATATGAGGTTCTGATGTTGTGCAAAAAGGAACATGCAAAACGAAGTCAAGCAGACTATAAGCTCCCTAAGAGCAGAGACCCTGCCCTCCAGTTCTTAGCACATTGCCTAACACATGGAAGGTGGTCAATAAATATTTGTTGGATGAATGAGCACATGAATGAATGTTAAGAAGAAAGGGAGTGAGGCAGGGCTTCAGGCTGCTACGTAAAAAGGAATAAGAACATTAATTCCTTCCCTCAATATTTATTGAGTACTTTAATAACATTCATATCAAATGTCTTCTTCCAAAATGTTACATAATTTATAGATTTATACATACTTGTACAAAATGTTTCTGGAATAAACTAGAAATTAAAACAGTATATAAAAGATTCTCTGAACTCTGAGGCAATTACAGGTCCAGAATGCCTTACCTGAAATTCCAAAATCTAAAAAATTCTGAAAACCAAAAGGTTTTCTAAGTTTGGTACAAAATTCATTTGGAGGGAAACCTGATCCAAACTGATGTTAACTAACTTATTTATACACTTAATGTAATCTCACATATCACTGAGAAATATTAATGTGTTCTATTTCAAGGTGCTACCCAAGCCCCAGAACCTTGGTGATACAGCGGTTAGGCGCTCAGCTGCTAACTGCAAGGTCAGTGGTTTGAACCCACCAGCCACTCTGTGAAAGAAAGATGTGGCAGTCTGCTTCCGTAAAGATTTACAGCCTTGGAAACCCTATGGGACAGTTCTACTCTTCCTAGAGGATCACTATGAGTTGGAATTGACTCAATGGCAATGGATTTGAGTTTTGGTTACCCAAGTCCCCGAAAAGCTATTAGATAATATGCACTTAACTATCTTTCTAAAACCTGAAAAATTCTGAATAAGGCATTGTGTATTTGTATAAAATTTCTCTGAAAGATTAGAAGGAAGCTATGAGCGTGATTTGGTAGATAATGGAAACAGAATTCAATGAGTCACCAATCTAAGTAATACATACTTCTTAATATGTTTATACAAATAGGATTAGAATAAAGCCATAAATTTTAGATTTTTCTAAAATTATTTACAAAAGGAATGAAAACCTATGCTGAATCTTTCCTTTTTAAAGCTGAAAATCGTGAACTTACCCTTTCACTTTTCACAGAACCAGTGACATCATCGTCATTTAGGTGGCGTTTGAACTTGGGAGGCATATTTTTTACTCACAAAGTACTTCTCTACTTCCTAGTAGAATAAGAATTCACCACCTTAAAGAGAAAATAATTTTCATTAGATTTGAGGCTTTTGGGTATAAGCCAAAGTACGTAAAACAGCCTACAAGGCTCAGCATGATGGGGCCTCCCTCATTTCTCTTGACTTTGACTACTCCCCTCTCACTTGTTCTGCTCCAGTGATCCTAGCCTCCATGCTTGGCCTCAACATGTAAGAGACAGCTAAAGCCATGAGAAATAGCTAAAACCTTAAGAGCACATGTATAGGAAATGAGTAACTTAAGGATTTTATAAAATAAAAGAACAGATAGTCCTGGAGAAGGGAAAAATAGGAAGTGGTCCTCTGAAAATGAAACATAATGAGATTTTAACTTGGAGTCAGAAAACAGTGGAACTCTTAGTTCTCTCACTTTTAGCTGCTGAAACAATGATTGCATTTCCTCATCTGTAAAGTGGTGATTTTTAGCCTTCTGCATGGAGTTGGAACGGTCAAATTGGATAATACAGGCAAAAACATTCTGCAAACTGTAACATTCAATTCCAAGGCATACAACAAGGTTCTCTGTAAAAAGGGCTAAGTTTGGTAATTACTGGGTTAAGTAAAGCTAGTTTTCTTTGCTACAGAAATTCTCACAGCCTTTTAAGTGCTAATATGCACTGTGACTTTCCAGAAAAATGCCTGTGTATGCAACATAGTCAAAATTTACTTGAGAAAAAGTCCTATGCTAATACAAGGTTTCGGAATCTCGGGTTAGACAATGAATATCAAGAATAGCTAAAATGTACTGAATGTTTTACTATGTGCCGGGCACTGTGCTCAGTGATTTACATGCACTTTCTTTTAATCCTTACAACACTCCTAAAGTAGGCATTGGAAACTGAAAGAAAATTAAGGCATACTAGGAATAAGTAACACTGTTAGTCACTTAACTCATTTAAATAGCAGAAATACAGGCCTAAACCAGTCGATGTTTTAATATGTACTCAATTAGTTGTCCACCAGGTTATAAAAGTCTTTTAGAAAGGCACCCTTTCCCTCTAACAACCCGATAGGTAGCCCTCAAAAAAGCTCCACAATAAGAAACACCTCTAAGATCTTTAAATGTTGTCAGGTCCAGTTTCATAAACCAAATAAAAGTAATATTTTAAGTCAGCTTCTGGTCAAAATAAATTCACAGAGACAATTTTCTTTGATAAGAAATGCTCCCAAACTAGAAATTTAATCACTTGAAACAACAACCAAACTCTTACTACAGTTCTTCATTCTGCAATATTTCTGTCATACCTCTGGCCATTTTATTCATCATACTTTGATTTTAGAATAATTCATTCATGCAGAAATGTTACAGAATGCATGGAGAAACAGATGACAAAGGAAGCATAGAAGAATTTGAGTTGCTTCATATATATATGGAAACCCTGGTGGCATAGTGGTTAAGAGCTATGGCTGCTAATCAAAAGGTCGGTGGTTTGAATCCACCAGGCACTCCTCGGAAACTCTATGGGGCAATTCTACTCTGTCCTATAGAGTCACTATGAGTTGGAAGCTACTTGACCGCAACAGGTTTGGTTTATATATATATATGTATATGAAGATAATATATCAGGTATACATTATCTGTACTTTACATTGTAAATCCTACAAATGGGCTGCCTCAACATCCCAAAGCAAACAACACAGAGACACAACATCTTTATGAAATATAGAGTAAAGCTATAACCTTAACGATGAGCAAACCCATTTCAGGTCCAATAATCCAATAATCAGGCTCATGAAACCAAGAAACCAATGTCTGACAAACAGAAAAGCCATCAGCAAAGCAGGAGGCAGATTAATTAGCTACATTCATGTATGAGGGCAACTGATGATATTTGCACCAAATAACTAATAGAAATGAACCATGCTCAGAAATCAGACTTGCACATATTCTGCCTAAGATTTCACCTGCAAAACAGTACAGGTGAATCAGGTGTTTGTGCCTAGGTATATATGCAAATAAGGGAGCCTTCATGACCTATGAAGGATAGATAACCACTACTCAATTCACTAAAAAGTGTCACATCACCATATGCTTCTAATGCCATGACTATACCTTTAAATTTTAATGCATGTATTTTTTAAGAAGTAGCACGTTCTCCATTCAATGGTTTCTCTATTCAGTGGTTTTACACATAATAAACTTCTAACCTGTTGTTTAATAAATGCTGGCTTCTTTTCTGCTTTATTCAAAAACCCTATGTGTTTCATTTCACAAAAAGCTTGAATCCGGGCAGAGGCTTTCCTTTTCTCTGCCCCCATTCCCTCTCTTTCTCCTCTTCCTTCCTCTCTCATCAGCAGTCTTGGTGGGTGCAGTTTCACGGAAATAAAGTGATTTGGATGGACACAGCCTGGAGATGTCACCCGCAAAACCTGTCAAAGTGTAAATGATTCACGCCACCTCCCAGTCATTAAAAACGCAGCAGGATTGGCGCTCTTTATCCTGAGCTCTTAAATAATAAAACAGATCCACCCCTCTAGCAAGCAGATCCGTTCACCCCTACACCCCATCTGCCACACAGGCCATGTCCCCCGGCATCTGCTCCTAACTCTGGCCTTTCCTGCCCCAGGATATCCACTCACATTCCCGGCTGCCTCCCACTCTTCCTAGATCTTCCCCATCCCAGGCACTGCTCTTTTCCTATCTCCCCAGAGCATCTCTTAATTCCTATTCCTCTGCCTCCTCAACCGCCCCCATCCGCACACCCTAGTCGTTGCCCACCTTCCTCACGGCACTCCCGGCCCCTATCCCTCAACCCCCCTCCTACGCCCCGGCCCAGCCTTTTCCAACCCGGGGCTCCCTCGCCCCCTGCCCCAGGCCAGTCGCCCGGCCAGACCGGACGTTGCGGGGAGGCGGGGCAGGGGCGTCGTCTCCGCTTCCTTCCTCCTAACACCAGCCCCTCCTGTCGGGAGCAGGCCGGCGTCAGTACCTGTGGCTCCCGGGGAGCTCGGGGCAGCTCTTCTGGGCGGGCTGTGCAGGGCGGGCGGGGGAAGGAGCGGGCAGCAGGAAGGAAGGCGGGAGCGGGAGACAGTGGGCGCAGACCCGGTGTCTCCAGCTCCGCCGCAGCTGTGCCGCCGTCTCATCGAGCCGATCGGCGCTCCGCGGCCTGGCGGCTGGCGGAGGGGGCGGGACCAGTACGCGAAGATCGCGAGGGAGTCGATTAGGTCCTCCACTAGCCGGAAGGAGTGTGGTCGGCACGGAGCGTAGACCCGGATTCTAGGACTGTATTGTACTCAGAGGGAGGAAGAACAACTGGTTCTGGAGGTCTCAGCCAGGATCTGGCGTGCGTGGAGGGCGCTCGGGGAGGTGGGGGAGCGCTGAGAAGTCACTGAGGTTGGGCGCCAAGGGAATGCTCTTGACTGGAGTTGACGAGGCGTTTAGAAGGTACTCCCAGCCCCAGCAAAGGAAGCCGAGTAGGAAGAGGAGGATGGCTCGCAGCCTAAGGCTTCGGATTGTCTAGGGCCTTTTGCGAGAAAAGGAAATCCGTTTGATTCCTGTTTATAGAATCAGAGTTAGACCTGGAGAGAGATGTTGAGGGTTGCTAGGCCGGTCTCCTCGTTTTAGGTGTAAGGAATCTTTAGTTCAGAGAGGAGACTTGAGCTCACACAGCTAGTTTGGACAGTGTTCTTTCCCATGAATCGCTTAGTTGTAACCTAAAATATCTAGGTCCAAACAGACATTGGAGCCTTCTGGTTTCAGGTGGGAAATAACCCCTCTCTGGCCATTCCACCGTACTATTCACTACCTCCCCATCCCCCACCCCACCCCCATTTCATATCATATTTAAACCTCCATGCCTGCAATAGCTGGACATAGTAATACAAACAACTGATTTTGTTTCTGCTTTCTCTTATTTGTTTTATTTATCCATTCCTCCCTCCCACGCCCATCTGGATTGTTTTACTCGTTTTTTTTTCCTGTCACTTGTTTACTACACATACATCTTTTTAACTTAATATCTATGGGTCCTTTGTTGATACAGTGTTTTTACTACCTGAAATGGTGTGCCAGGTACTTCATAAAGACATCATGAAAATAAGGGGGAGTGTCTAAGTACGAGGAGACAAAGAACAAGAGGAGGAAAGCTCTGGGACACCGAAGGAAAGGAAAGAATGGACACCCTCTTACCAACTGCTCTTTTGGTTGGTGTTTGTTTCGACTTAAAAATGCACCAACTAATTGATAGCTGCATTGGCTAGGGCAATGACTATCAACCGTAGGTGAATCACCTGAAGTTGAATCACTTGGGTAGCTTTAAAAACTACTTATGCCCAGGCACTACTTTGAGATTCTGATTTAATTGGTTGGTGAGAAACGGTGAGCCATGGCCTTGTCAGTGGAAGCTTCTGAAAGCCTGATGTTAGACTCACACACTACCTGTGAGTCTACTGCTTGGGAGCCAGGCTTAGACTGAAAAAAAGCTTTTTAACTTTTTCTGCCTGGGCATGATGGTGAGACTATCCCAGATTCCATAGATGACACAGACATTCTTTTTATTAGATTAGTTGATTTTATATCTCTATATCTGCTTGTCTTTGGGGGCTTTCTTGCTTTGGTGCCTCAGCCAGTTATAGCTTTAGTCAATTATAGCCTCAGCCCATACACTTTGTCACCTTAAGGCAATGTTATATGATTACTGAGCTGCATGGGTATGCCTGTGAATAATCCACTCTTTGTTTCTTAGTTTGTTTTTCACCATAATTCTTTAATCCTGCCAATCATTTTGGTATGATTGTTTGGGGGAGGGTGAATAATGCAAGCCCCAACCTTTTTTCACCTGAACAAAGTCCCTTTGACTATCCCTGACATTTGTGAAAGCTTAGAAAATGTCATTTTACAATTAATATGGATGAAATATATTACTCATCCTGAAAGGGTATAAATAGCACTGGACTTTGGAGTTAGAACCAGGTTGCAGTCTTACCAACTTGAATTATTTCCTCTTTATTGAACTGCAGTTATTCAGATGTTGGTCCTCTAATTTTGCTCTATAAATCAGGTTCCTTTATGGCCTGCTTAGGAGTCCTGTTTCTCAAGTCTGCTAAAACAATCACTACTGATTCATCTACTTTCCAGCTTTTAATATTTTGTTGCAATTGTCTCTTATCCCATGAGGCAAAAAAATATAAATCAATTATAACCACATAAACAAATGTTCAATGTCACTCAAAATGTAAATCAACAGTGGAAGATCACTTTTCATCTATCAGTGACTAAGAAGGAAGGAGTTAAGCAGATCTACAAGCACGCAGGAGATGCAGTCTAATCTTCTTAAATGGTATTTGCTAGCACGAGAGTTCATATATATGGAATTCCGTTAGCAGCATGTCTCTGGGATAGGATTGTTTATGGTAGGTGCATCAGGAATCCATGGATTTGATGGGTATGATTCCCTGGAAAATGTCATGTCAGCTATATAATTATCTGAGCATAAAATGGAGATGTTTCTTACTGAGTTGGCACCTTCTGTGTGAAGGAAGTGTCTGCACACCTTACTTAGAGACCTCATATATTAACTGGTGCGAGGGTGCACCAACCAGTCTCTGATGTAGGGCCACGATGTTTTAACTAAGCAGGAGTCTGCTGGTTCAAGCATGCCATTGTCTTTATTATAAATTACATTGTTTACGATTTCTAGTTTCATTTTCTTCAAAGTAGAGCAAAAACTTAAAGACATCGTTGAATCAATTTGAGTGCAAAGTCTGTATAAATTTTGTACAATTTTTCCTGAAGTTTTAGAGATTTTTCTTACCCATACGTAATTTGACAATGATTCTATAAAAATTTGATTGTGGTAAATATGTATAATTTGCCATTTTAACCATCTTGAAGTATATAATTCAGTGGCATTACTTGAATTCACGATGTTGTTCAAAACTTTTTCATCACCCAAACAAAAACTATGTACCCATTAAGAAATAAATTCTCCTTCTCTCTTCCCCCCCAGCTTCTGGTAAACTCTAATCTACTTTCTGCCTTTATGAATTTGCTTATTCAAAGTATTATCCTGTAAACAGAATCATACAATTTTTTTTTTACATGTCTGGCTTATTTCACTTAGCATAATGTTTTCAAAGTCCATCCATGTTATAGCATGTATCAGAACTTCATTTCTTTTTATGGCTGAATAATATTCCATTCTCTGTATATACCACATTTTGACAGTAAAACCTGCCAAAGCTGGAATCTGTGTAAAGCAAAAACCTGTCAAAGAAGGAAAACAAAAATATTTTCCACAAATAGACAGCAATAGAAAAGTGTTAAGACTATCAAAGGCAGAAAACTTGCAAGACCCAGAAAAACGAGGCAGTCCCATCTAGTTCCAGCTCTCACACGTTTCACTGTACATTCATTTGTTGATGGACAATTGGGTTGTTCCTACCTTTTGGCTATTGTGAATAACACTGCTATGAACATTGGTGTACAAGTTTATCTTCCATAGTGATTTTTGTTTATTGTTCACCATTATCAATTTAGTTTTCATAGAAAAAATAGTATTCTATTTGTACTTATATTTCATTAGTTTAAATACTTAATTAAATTCCATAAGTATGATAACAAGTATAAATATTTTAGTGTACAAATACAAATTGACTCTTTTTTTCTTTTAAGTAATATTGTATTTTCAGTGAAGGTTTACATAGCAGTTTAGTTTCCCATTCAACAATTTCTACACAAATGGTTCAGTGACATTGGTTAAATATTTCCATTCTGGTTGTTCCAATTCCATTAATCTAGTTTCCCTGCCCTCCTACATTCTCATCTTTGTTTTAAAGTAATTGTTGACTGTTTGATCTCATATAGATGATTTTTTTAAAGTAGGACAGTACTCATGAGTGATAGTCTTTATTTTGTGAGTCCATCTGTAATTGAGATAAACGTGACCTCAGGGGCTAGTTTCGGTTCAAGGTTTAAAGAGTATCTCAGAGCAGTAGTCCCAGGGAATCTTCCAGTTTCAACCAGTCCAATAAGTTCTTTTTTTTTTTAAGGAATTTGAGGTTCTGTTCCACATTTTTTCTCCCTTTCTATCAGGGTCCATCTATTGTGGCCCTAATCAGAACAGTCAGCAGTGGTAGCTGGGCATCATCTAGTTCTTCTGGTCTCAGGGTCAATGAGGACATGGTTCATGTAGACTATTAGTCCTGTAGACTAGTTTCTTCTTTGAATCTTTGGTTTCTTTCTTTCTCTTTTGCTTTGGACGAGTAGAGACCAATAGTTGTATCTTAGATGGCTGCTTGCAATCTTTTAAGACCCCAGGTACTATTCACCAAGCTGAGGTGCACGAGACTAAGGTCCTAATCCTTCAAACCCAGGAAAGCAGTCCTGCGAGGTGTTTAGTTATGTCTAAGAAGTATCTGTAACTGTACTCCTCTGTGCTTTATTATATATATGAATATATGTACATACAGTCACAAACATGCATATACATATGCATACACCTATATACACACAAATATATACTCATGCATACCTATACAGGTTTGTCTACGTGTGTACATAGATACCCACACATAATGTTTTTTGGTTGTTGTTGCTTTTGTTTCAAAATTACATATGCCTTAGCAATTACCTAAAGGTCCTTTTTCTTGTGTACATTTTAGTGGCATTGTTTACTTTTGTCAGGCTGTGCATACTTCGCCCTCATTCGGTGTTATCTTTTACAAATGGACTCCTGATAGCACATAACTAGTGTAGAAAGGAAGTGCCCAGGTTTATCAGTTAAC